TCGCTTATGTGGTTCCCCAATAGGACAGGGGAATGGGAACGCTCCACACTGCAGATCGCTTTGGGCTAACTTTCAGAAAAGTTATGACCAGGTTTAGGATTAGAGTTAAGGTAGGGCTGGGCTTAAGGAAAGGGTTAAAGTTAAGATTAAGATACGATGAATGTTTGATTTAGGGCCAATGTTCGTATACTTCAACAAGAATGGGTATCCCTTCTGAAATTAAGTGCAATATCACCTGTTCTACGGGGCAGGGTGTTCCTACCCCCCTTTCCTGCACTTTGCTAATTTAGATTTATTTTAATGCTTTTGCTGACAGCTGGGCTGAAGTGCGTGTCAACATTGGCGAACATCAGGCGGTGTTGTTGAACTTTTTAGCACAGTGCCCTGTAGTCCCTTATTCGCACAGAAGGCCATCAAGAAGGGAAGATTATCATCACTACCACAGCAATTCAAGCAGCCGTGCTGCTTGAATTGGAAACCTTGTTGTAAGCTGCGGACTTTCTTATGCTACTTATGTCGCACTTTGAAGGTTCATGTTCCTCTTGTTTCTATAAACCGGACTTAAAGCGTTACCAAAAAAAGCCGTTGCCATGAAATTGATTCCAAAAATAAATGCGCACCAGGTTCTTATGCGGGCATCTTGGATGCATTCAGTCGGAGCTTTGAAAGGTTTCCCCTAACGATGTCTCTTCATGTATTTTCACATTTCGTGGTCGCTTATACTAGTTTATAGATTCTCACAGTAGTATCTGATTTCAAGTCGATACGGGCAATACACGTGTTGTGGTTCTCTAAAAGAAACAAGTTAAGGGGTGATGAGGTGTCACAGCCATCCTAGCTATTCGGTGACTAAGCTCTCAGACCTTTTTTTCCACCAGTGTCTTCGACTGTTAGTGCAGAACCACTCCCAAAGTATTCATTAGCAATAAATAGCTTTCAACGTTGTCCATCGACGAGTCCTTTGCTGGCGACGACTAACTTGACTGGGCAAGCGTTTACTATGTTTGAGTTCTTTGATCTCAGGCCTGCCATGTGCCCGAAGCAGCTTATCTAGGCACAGTGCTCGTTCATTACAGGATCATGCTATCGTCACTAAGGCTCACCAAAACTGCCAATATGTTGTCCTGGATATATTTATTTCAGGAGACTATTAGGGTCAAAATGACCTGATTTGCAACTTGTTTTGCCTCTTATTGCATTGCTAGAAAATTGAGGCAGCGAAAGCTGTGGATATTAGATTATTTAAGCGTTTTTCTACTGATATTGTAAGGTGTTATGATTTTTGCCCTTTTTATTTGTGAGGCGGTTTCTTTTCTTTATTGCAACCTCTCCATCTACCCACTTTCTCGTTTTCGATCTTCGCATCCAGTGTATTCAACCTGCATTTATCTCGATTTTAGCCCACACCAATATTTTTCCCAATTTTAACTCATTTCTTGCTGTTGTTATAATTTCCTTTCCCAATATTAATGGGCTATGTCTGTTCAACTTATTATTGGCTTTCTCAAACGTCGTGAGTTTGGCACCAAGTAAATAATTCCGCCATAAATGTTGCTAAAGTCTTAATTTCGTCTGATATTATTGGCTTGACCCTGCCTAATTGAGTACTTTCTTTCTTACTTAAACTATAGCAGGAGGTATTTGGCTGTCTTAATAATTTATCCTGTTGTTTACTCCGGGAAAACCGTATGGGTTTGCAGGGGGCGAAAGATCGTTTTCGGCAAGTGTGATTTGTTCTTAGTAAGCCGCTTGATTTTTGCTCTTTGTCAGACTTCTGATATGTTATCTAATGTGAATCGATTGGCTAACTTGTGGTCGCTGCCGATCGATTTGTTCAGACCAGTGTTCAGAGGGGTGCAGTTTTACCCTAACAAGTACTCACGTGGTATTCGATTGACTGCCGTTCACTCATTTGGTCATCACCTTTGTCGGTACGTTGGCATTCACTAAAAAATGCGCGTGGTGGCCGCATGCGCGCTGGCTCTCCTATTCCTCTTCCTGGCGCAAGTTGATGCTCGTCC